ATACCCTCCAACATTTCTCTGATGAAAATAGGGACATCCCATTCCATAATTATAATTTTATTATTTATACCCGATACATCTTACTGGGTTGCCCCAGCCACTCTGGGCAGCTTCCAACATTTATAAAAACAGAAAACATTGAAAAACTGCCTTCAGATGACTCAGGGGTAGGATAACTCCACACCCTCCAACATTTCTCCAATGAAAATAGGGACAACCGAATGAAAAGTGGGACATTCTGAGATCAAATCAAAATCTGGGCAGGCTTTTCTAAATCAAGGACAGCCCTGGAAAATAGGGACACTTGGAGGGTCTGTACTGAGTTAGATGAACTACCGTATTTTTCGCCCTATAGGGCGCACCGGCCCATAGGGCGCACCTAGGGGTTTTTTTGGGGGGGGAATAAAGAAAAAAAATCCCCCCAGGCGCAGGGGCTGGGGAAGCCCGAGCTTCCCCCGACCCCAGCCCCCAGAACAGGCTGCTATCCACAAGCCTCGGGAGCCCGGCGGGAACTCCCACGGGCTCCCCAGGATTGCGGATAGCTTCCTGAAGCCCAGAGAGCGAGAGGGGTCAGTGCGCACCGACCCCTCTTGCTCTCCAGGCTTCAGTGAAAGCCTGCATTCACCCCATAGGACATTTCCCCTTCATTTCATGCGTCCTATAGGGCGAAAAATACGGTAACTGTTAAAGAAAATAAGGAGGTTGGCTTTTGCTGCCCAACTCCCCAAGGGACTGAGTCCACTAAGTCCATGATTGGTCAGAAAGGAATGGCGGTAGGATGCACTGAAAGCAAGGCAGATCTTTATTTTTCTGTTGCAACAGAGTTCCCTCCCCTCCTTGCAAGGAGGCAAGAGAGACCTAGAACAATGGTGCACAAGCCCCTATAAAGACTTTGAAAACTGCCCACCCTGTAGCCCAAGACCACCCCAGAAACATCATACATACATTGCAGAAGGTGGTCTCCAGCAGAAATTTGAGTGCGTTGCTTCTCTCCTGTCTACCAGAATACCTGATAACGCCTTACTGATTGCATTTTCTGGGTAGCCTAGCCATTCCTTTGAGATGGTAAATACTTTAGTTCCTGAATCTCCTTTTTACAAATTTACATCTTATTGATAGTCTGCTCAGTTTAGCAGAAACTTGCCAGACTGGATTTGCAGGGAGGATTTGCAAGTGAAAAGACAATTGGAAAGTTTCTCCCATCCTCCTGCTGCAGAGAAATATTTGAGGTCCTTTGGGGAGAGTCAAAATGGTTTCAGGATTGCTCTCTTGTACTATTTTAGACACGTGGTTTATATGCTTATCTATGTGTGTTTACCTTGTGCATTTATGAACATTTATTCTATATATGCACCTGCCTGTTCTGCCTTCTTCCGGTTCAAAAGGGCCCATGCATTGGCGATCACACATCAATTGAATCACACACCTAATCTAGTTCCTGCCTGTATATCAGAAATTGAATCACTTCTCTACTCTTTCACATGCCTCTAGTATCTGTGTTACATCTAATCAACAACCGTTTCATTTTTATTGTCTACAAAATGGGAAAGACACACTCATATTTTCAGCAAAATAACACAAAATTGACTTTATTCATAAAAATGATTTTTATTGAAAATTTTCAAATATACATTTTCATCATTAAATATGTGATAGGAATTTTGAGGTCTTAGATATATGTTAAATGTACCAACCAAGCATGTACATAGATCAGCACAGGAAGACCAACCTGAAACCATTTTGATTCCCAAACTGAGCAAATGTTTTCTCTGCAAGGTCAAAGGAAAATGGAAAAGCCTCCCCATTGTCTTTTCCTTCACAAATCCTGTCTTAAGGGCACATTTAAGATATGAATAGGGTGTGAGGCTGTGACCTGGCTCAGGAACTAAGTATGTAACATTACAAAAGACTGGCCAGGCTCCCCAGGCAATCCAATCAAGTGACCATTAAACAGGTAACCTGGCAGACAGGAGGTAAACAAACCACTCAGATTTCTGCTGTAAACCGCCCTTTCTGTGATATAGGTATGATGGATCTGAGGGGGTGGTCTTGGGTTACACCCCTTCTGTGATGTATGTATGATGTATGGAGGGGTGGTCTTGAGCTCCAGGGAAGGGAATTAAAAACATCTATATAAGGCCTTGCGCGCCATTGTTCTGGGTTCCTCCTCCTTCCTGCGTGTGGTGAGCAAGGACCCTGTTGCAACAGATCAATAAAGATCAAGCTTACTAGCTGCTTTGCTTCTCAATATTCTCTGGTTGGCCTGTTATTTTCTCCTACCAATAGGGAACCCGCGTAAGGACTCTATATGGGCTCTTGGACATCCTATAAGGGGAAAAGGGCAGATTTTTGTTTACAACAAATAACCACCATTGTAATCTTGCATTTATTGACTTCCCTCCTTCCCCTTCCATGGTTCTTTAAATTTCTTTAAAGTTCTTTAAATTTCTTTAAAGTTCTTTAAAGATCTGCAAACTCTAAAAGGGAAAATAAATCCATTTAATTTAGCCCCTCCCCCCAATTATATCTGAAGGGGGGGAAATCCATTTAATTTAGGCCCCCCCAATTATATCTGACTACTGTTGAATTTACCTTAATGTTTTCACTTGCTTAGAGTTATTTTCCAAATATTCCATTAAGTTTTCCCACTCTTCTTTATAAACTTGACCTTCTTGCTCTCGTAGGCCTGTTAACTCTGCATATTCTATCATTTTGAGCTGCCATTTCTCTTTCTTAAGAGCTTCTCTCACCTTCTAGTTTTGGGCTAACAAAATCCGAGCTGCTGTAATTGCATACATAAATACGTTTTTCTGGCTCCCGGGTACCTGTCTGCACCATTCCTAAAAGAAACACTTCTGGTTTGGGGGTAAATGTTTTTCTAACTAAAACATTTTTTCCCCCATCTCATTATGCAGTAATACCTCCACGAACGTCCACCTTGTCTAGCATCCATTCCGGCAAACATCCGCAGAAAACCCTAAAGTACCAAAATGGGTTACTTCCGGGTTTGCCGCTCGCGCATGCGCAGAAGCGCTAAATCACACATGCGTAGAAGCGCAAACTGCTCCGCACGCATGCGCAGATGCGACGCTTTGCCCTGTGTCCATGTTGGCTAGCGGCCAGGGCTCCAGAATGGATCCCGGCCGCAAAATGAGGTACGACTGTATATAATTTCCCAATATTCCTTAACTAATCTGCATGCCCACCACATATGTAGAAATGTTCCTCCCACTTCTCTGCATTTCCAATACATATCAGATTTAGATTTATACATCTTAGCTAATCTGCTTGGAGTTATATACCATCTATGTATCATTTTCACATGGTTTTCTTTTAGTGTGTAGCACACAGTAAATTTCAAATCTTTCTTCCATAGTTTCTCCCAGTGGTCAAATTCAATATTATGCCCTATATCTCTTGCCCAGTGAATCATTGATTATTTTACCAGCTCATCTTTTGTTTCCCGCTCCAATAACAGCTTATACATTTTGGATAAAAAATTTTCATTATTTTCTAATAGGATTCTCTCAAATTCTGAGCTTTGGTCCAAAATTTTTTTTTTAAATTTATCTTGAACCATTCATTTAATTGATAACACTGGGGAACAAATTTTTTGTTGTATTGACACCTGCAATTGTTCTGACCTAATTTTGACGTGCTGATTTCATATCAGAAGTTGGTTTTGTTCTGTACGCTCTAGGGTTTTTTGCAATTCATGTTTTCACTTTTCACCATAATCTTTGTTTTTCACAATGCAAGAATTCAATATTTTATTAAACACAGCCAAAGTAGTATAATATGAGTATAAATGTAAGTGACTTGTATAACATTGAACATGACATGTATAGCATTTAAAATGACGTGTATATCTATGTACAGTTGGAGGTATGCAAAAAATGTATTCCATTGGGATACACAGTATACTGGGGAACAATTTTTTCCCATTTTCTTTTGCACGAGCTTTTTCAACTGTTCTTATATGTTCTTTCAATGCTGATTTCAAACCTGAAATTGATTTTTGTGTACATGCTATAGTTAACTTGCAATTTCTGACTTTTGCCGATATGTCATATTTACACTGGGGATAAGTGGACACTGACACGTTGATCTGCCATAACCACATGGTAATTATTGTTTTGCAAACTTAATCTTTATTTTTACAGTTTTGTAACCTAAATATTTGCATTTTTCAGATTGGACCATGGCTTCTTCAAGTAGACAAAAATGTGTAAACAACCCTGATGCCTTTTGTTATGCTATTTTTGTCTGGTCAATACGAAGGGTATCGGCAAGAAAAACCGACATGCTGTCGCCTATCATAGTATTCCTTCAGCAATTAGACCTATCCCGCACTCTGAGGAACTCCCAATTCCAGTTTTTAAGGGGTTTGTCTCTTCTGAAGATGAAGGAAGTGAACATGGTGAGGAGCACAATTGGATCATCTGTGTGGATCTCAAAATGGTCAATTTCTTGCTTGGACAACAGAAAGGCTTTACCAAGTACCTGAATAACAATTGTAGATACCACTGGGAAACAAAAATAGAAGTCACTTGTGTGATCCTTGGGTTCTTGCCAAACCATGGGAACCCCAAAAGGCATACTCTTCCATTTTCCTTTTGTCCGGTCTCTAAGCATTTCCTCACAATTGTGACAAACAATATGCAGAGCCCATTTCTTGTCTTGGTCGCCCAGGGGAATTTCAAAATAGCTTTTATAGGCATGCCTCACAAACGCTGTTATATTGCATCTTTGACGAGGAAGTGCATAGCAGTCACATACATAACAAAAGGCATCAGGCAGTGTCCCCAGTGTAAATATGACATATCGGCAAAAGTCAGAAATTGCAAGTTAACTATAGCATGTACACAAAAATCAATTTCAGATTTGAAATCAGCATTGAAAGAAAATATAAGAACAGTTGAAAAAGCTCATGCAACAGAAAATGGGGAAAAAATTGTTCCCCGGTGATATTGTAACCAATCTGCTACTTTTTTTTAATATTTCTTTCACTGTCTTCAGTCTGAGTTCCTTCTCCGAAAAGTGCAGGAATTTTCTGTATGTCACCCATTGCCTGACCATATTTATTCTTTTCATAGTAATGGCTTCTATTGGCAATAAACACAATGGAGTTTTCCTTTCCAACAAGTTCTTATATTTCTCCCAGACTCCCCGATTTGAGAAACTCTTATGTATCTTAACTTTCCCATACCATAGACATGCATGCCAGCCAAATTTAAGATCATGACCTTTCAGATCTAATGGATAAGCGTTTTTTCAAACCAATCCATTCCTTTAGCCAGCAAAGACATGCTGCCTCATAGTATAACTGTAAAGGGTGAAGGAGGGTAAAGCCTCCTCTTTATTTATTATCTATCAGAGTTTTATACTTAATTCTTGGTTTCTTCCCCTGCCAGATATATCTAGAAATATCTCTGAAGCAGCACAAACTGTTGACAATCAGGACTGACTGGAATAAAAACATTTTAGGTAATACATTCATTTTGATGGCTGAAATTCTGCCCATTAGGGAAAGCTTCATTCTTCCCCCCCAGCTCCAAAACTTTCTTAATCTCTTTCCAAACCTTTGTATGAAAATTGACTTTATTCAAACAATTTGTTGACAATTAGAGAAATATACAAACTCCACAAACATGTTACAATCAAGTGTTCAAGTGAACTGGCATCAGAAGACTAATGTTGAATATACAACTAAGGTCTCTTTTTCAACTGGCACTTCTCTTCTGCCTTTAAACAGCCACCTGACACACATCCTTAAACTGACAAATCTCCTCCTGATTTGGGTGGAGGTAAAACAGAGGATACCAGCCCACATGAAGCTGCACATAGACATGGCCAGTTTTTCTAGTTTCTTTAAAGAAAGGTTGGAAGTAGTTTTGTCAATAGTTTTGAAATGTTTTAGATGGCCCAGTCCTGTTTTCAAATACATGTATGCTAAGGTCCACATCCAGACTTTTACCAAAGTGTGAGCAGATGGTTTTCAGAGAAGGGTGTGGTAGAAAGAGGCATGAGCCTATACAGTAAGTAGTTACATGATAGGGCTTTAATTCCTTATACAGCTGATCGGAAGGAAAAAACCCAAATAATCTAGCAATTGGAGTATGGGGAAAGGACTAAGGCCTGTTCCTTCAGTCGAAAACAACCCTTGAACACTGCTCCCTGAAGCTACTCAATAGAGCAGGTATTTCCAGGACAGGGATGTGAGCCTTAGCTTACACAACTGATACGGAGGAAGACTACAGTACTGAAAACGTAGTATTATTACTTTTTAATAGTTGTTCTTAATTTAGTACTAGGGCCACCAAGTTTTTTCATTTTGTTTACAGCTTCTGCACCTTCAAGAGAAACCGACTATGTAGACAAAGACACTCTTCTTATAATTTTGTACCCAGTGGCAATAATTTCAATGGCTTAAATTTCTGCCCTCTTGGGCTGCCTTGAAGGCAGCTCCTGCTCTAAAATTCCCATTCAGATACTAAAATGTCAGACTATAAGCAATGGCCTAACTTTTCCCCACAAGAAATTCCATCTAAGAGAGCACAGTTCCCAAGGGATCTCGTAGGCAGGGAACATTAAAAGAATGCCTGCACACTAAAAACAGCCACAAGAGAAGCAAACCTCCCATCTTAACTGCACTGGCCACCCCATGGGAAACACTGGGTTGGCTATCCTGTGAGGTGGTGCCTAGAGAAATGTGGCTTCTTGCAAATACAGCTGAGGCCTGCTGAGAGAGAAGAGGGCCCGGGGAGGGCAGGAAAATGTTGTCTTGATGCAACCACCGGAACGTTCAACTGTCAAAACGCAACAAAGCTGGGGAGAATTGCAGGCTCCCTTTTCAGGCGTGCTCCGTCGGGCCTGCTCCATGCCCGTTGATGTGAGGGTGAGAAGGAGTGGACCCCTGAGGGGCCGGAATGTTCTCCTCCATCATGGCAGCCGCCAGAGGCATGGCTAGGCCTTCTGGGGAGGACATGGTCAGCTCCTGTCTCCAATATGCTTCACACAGCGGGAGGTCGTTGGTGTCACACAGACTGTAGCTTTCCCCGAATGAGATGCCCATTAAGGAGAAAAGGACAGTGGAAAGCCACAAGAGGGAAAGAGAGAGAGAGAGAGATACAGGAGGGAGAGAAGATGAGAAAAGCAAGACAGAGGCAACAGTGTTAAGAAAATAGCAAAAAAAGGGAAAAAAAGAAGCAACAACTAAGGTTAAGAACGTAAGAGCCCTCCAAGATCAGGCCAAAGGCTCATTTAGTCCAGCATCCAGTTCTCACAGTGGCCAATCAGATGCTAGTTATGGGAAGCCCAAAAGCAGAAAGCAAGTGCAATAGCACTCTCCTTACTGTTAACAACAGCTAGTATTCAGGTTATACCGCATCCCCTCCAAGGTTTTGGAAAGGGAGTCTTTCCCAGCCCTGACTGGAAATACCAGGGATTGAACCCAGAACCATCCTCATACAGAGGATGTGCTCTGCCACTGAGCTACTGTTCTTCACCTAAAAATAAAGCAACACTTCTGTCCTCATGATACTGAACGGCAACATAGGAAGCTACCTCATCCCGAGTCACAACACTGGTTCATTGATCCCAGTATTGTGTACAGCATTTTAGATAGGGAGTCTCTGATAGCCCTGCCTATAGATGTCGGGGACTAAACCTGGGGCCTTCTGCATGCAAAGAAGATGCTATCCCCCCCCCCTTTTTTAAAAGATGCTGCAGCTGTGTAACCATTTATCTTGGTCCTTCTTGCTTGTGGAAATCCTGCTCTGAAGCAAACAAGAGGAGCAAAAGAAAATAAAGCAGTGGAAGAGTTTTGGAAGGAGAGGAACAAGCTTTGCATAAGACAAGCAGGGGGCAGGAGGTTTTCAAAAACAAGCTGTGGGTTCGCTTAAAAAAATAATGTAGTTATCAGCTGAAATGACAATTATATTTTCCCTCACACACTGCTGTTTTATTTACAATAAAGTTTGCAGCAAATATTTTTAATGGGATATGTGTGTGTGTATAATTATAATAATAATAATATAATATAATGGCATAACAAAAGAATCCTTAAAATATTGCTTTGTTTTGATGCATCTTAACATTATGGAACTGGAAACTCATGGTCCAGTCATCACAGAGAGAAGAAAAAAATGCTTATTATGTCCAATCCTATGTATCTTTACTCAGAAGCAAGCCCCACTCTATTCAGTTGTGGTCCCTTTCAGCTAAGGGTGCGTGTGATTGCATCCTAAACCCCAAAGTTCCATATCTTCTCGACTGCAGCCCTTCAGATGTTGTTGTTTGACTACCCCATGCTCGTACCATGCATCCGATACCACTTTAAACAATCATGGCTACTCCTGAAGAATTTTGAGAGCTGTAGTTAAGAGTGCTAAGGACTATTGGGAGGCCCTTGTTCGCTTCACAGACCTACAATTCCCAGAGTGGCTTAACAATCAATCCCTCTTCACAGGGAACTCTGGGAATTAATTGTAACCCTGTAACCTCTGCACCATTCGAAAACTACAGCTCCCCTAATTATCTGGTGGAATCCATAACTGTCTAGCATGGCATCATAGTGCTTTAAATGTATTGTATGAATGTGGCCTAAAGCTGCCATCTTCATTTATTATTTATTTCATAAAATTTATACACCACTTGATTGTAAAAAAAAGCTTCAAAGCTGTTTAATCCCACTTAGCTAGGAACAAACCCCATTGAATTCAAGAGGACTTACTTCTGAGTAGACATGGTTAGGATTGCAGTTTACACTGACTAGTGATTAGGGTACTCTGGGCAGTTCAAGATCTAATACCTGTTCCTGTTTGCAAGTCATTTAGGTGACAAGATCACAATGCGGATGAGGGGGCAGGAGAGAAGCTCACCTCCACATCTCTGTGGAGAAAGGCCTAGTTTCATGGTGTGCTTGCCCTCCAAAATGGCCACATCTCACGTCAAACATGAAGTACTCAATAAAACGGCTTTGGGGCCCGGATTCTTTGGGTGCTGAGAATTTAGGGATGCTTTTTAAAACAAGGACAGTTGTTATTTTCACAAACACCCTGCCCCACTCCCACCCCCACCCCATGTCAGAAACAGGAAATTGTTGTGGTTACTATAGGGCAACCGTCCATGGCTTCATTTGTACCTGGAAGAGTAATATTCTTCCTCCAGCTCATAGAGGTCTATCGAGATCTCATCACGCAGGGCAATAAGCTTCTTGTCGCATTCCTCCTGAAGGCTGCGCAACTGCTGGTTCCGCTGGTTGATGGCTTCGTTGACGGAAGGGAAGTCATTGAGGATCAGGAACTGTTTTAGGTCAGAGACAAGCTTCATAAGAGACTCACCAGCCCGAACCTAGCAGAGAAAAAAATTCAAATTATTTATTTTATACTATTTATACACCACTAGATCGTAAAAAGTGTCAAAGCGGTCTACAAAATGAATAAAACAAGAAATCATAAGAAAAAAGAAAAATACCATACTACTATTTAAAACAGGGGCAGGCAACCTAAGGCCCATGGGCCGGATGCGGCCCAATCGCCTTCTAAACACGGCCAGCGGACAGTCCAGGAATCAGCGTGTTTTTACGTGAGTAGAATGTGTGCTTTTATTTAAAATGCATCTCTGGGTTATTTGTGGGGCATAGGAATTCGTTCGTCCCCCCCCCCTGCAAATATAGTCCAGCCCACTACATGGTCTGAGGGACGGTGGACCAGCTCATGGCTGAAAAAGGTTGCTGACCCCTGATTTAAAACATTCAATGAATAATTAAAGTCAATGACAAGCTGGAAACCAAATTAAGATGTGTCTGCCTTCTACATGTCTGGACAGGCTTATCTAAACAAAAATGTTTTTGGCAGGTACCTTGGAGTACAGTGAGGGCACCTGCCTGATGTCAATGGACAGGGAATTCCAAAGCATCAGTGCTGCCACCCTAAAATATTAATTTCTTACAAGTCCAGAACAAGTATTACGGGGCATTTGTAACAGTGCCTGCTCGACAGATCAAAACAGTCCACTGGGCATATATTTGGTAAGACTATCTTGCAGGTAAACTGTTCCCAAGCTGTTAAATGCTATATATACTAATAATAACACCATGAGCATGGCCCAGTAGCAAATGAGCAATCCTTGCAGGTCTCTTAGCTTGGGTGTTATATGCTGCAGCATTTTGCACTAACTGCAGCTTCTGGAATGAGCACAAGGGAAGCCCCTATACAGTGGTGCCCCGCAAGACGAATGCCTCGCAAGACGGAAAACCCGCAAGACGAAAGGGTTTTCCGTTTGCGAGTTGCTTCGCAAGACGAATTTCCCTATGGGCTTGCTTCACAAGAAGAAAGCCCATAGGGAAATCTCCGGGGACCTCTTTTAAATGCTGGCGGTGGGGAGCAAAGCCTTTCCCCCCCCCCTCCGGCCTTCAGAAGAGGTCCAGGAAGGCCGGCGGGGGCCGAAAGGTTTTGCTCCCCACCGCCAGCATTTTAAAAGCAGTCCAGGATAGCAGGGAAGCGCTTCCCACTATCCCGGACGGCTTTTGAAGGCAGGTACCTTGGAGTACAGTGAGGGCACCTGCCTGATGTCAATGGACAGGGAATTCCAAAGCATTGCGGAGAGGTCCGCAAAGCCTGGGCGCGCTGATCTCAGCGCGTGCAGGCTTCAAGCAGCCAGAGCGCTCCCACTGCTTGCGGACAGGTCCGCGAAGCCTGGGCGCGCTGATCTCAGCGCGCGCAGGCTTCGGCATGCTGGCAACTCTCTGCAAGGAGCCGGAGCGCTCCCGCTGCTTGCGGAGAGGTCCGCGAAGCCTGTCCCTGACGGCTTTTGAAGGCAGGCGGGGGGGAGCAAAGACTTTCGCCCCCCGCCCGCCTTCAGAAGAGGTCCTGGACCTCTTCTGAAGGCCGGCGGGGGGCAAAAGTCTTTGCTCCCCCCCTGCCTGCCTTCCCGGGAGATCGGAGAAACGCAGCGCGTTTCTCCGCTGTCCCGGACGGCTTTTGAAGGAGAAGTCCTCCGCTGTCCCGGGGCGATTTTAAAATGCCGCCCGCCAGCATTTTAAGAACGCCCCAGACAGCGGAGAAGTCCTCTGCTGTCCCGGGGTTTTTTTAAAATGCTGGGGGTAGGAAGAAAAGCCCTTGTCGTCCCCCCCCCAGCCTTCAGAAGAGGTCGGGGGACAGATTGTCCCCGGACCTGGTCTGAAGGCGGTTTCCATAGGAACGCATTAATTGATTTTCAATGCATTCCTATGGGAAACCGTGCTTCGCAAGACAAAAAACTCGCAAGAAGAAAAAACTTGCGGAACGAATTAATTTCGTCTTGCGAGGCACCACTGTACAGCACATTTCAGTAATCTTGACATACAGCCCCAAATTACCCTGAACGTATAACAACATTTTATTGCTCATCCTTCTCCAGCAGGTCCCAAGGCATATTAAAACATTTTTTTTATACTGAACAGTTAAAACAAATCACATTCAAAGGAATTGGGTGGATCCTAAAACACACACATCTCAACAAAAACAAGAAGACACACTTCTGTGAGGAGGGAATTCCACAATCGAAGAGCTGCCCCAGGGAATGAGCTGTCCTAAGCTATCAGCACCCAGAACTTCTGAGGGTGGCAGAACAACCAGAAAAGCCCCTCTGCTGATCTCAAGACCTGAGAGGGTCTGTAGGGAAGAAGGCAGCCTCTCAGGTATCTGAACACACCCTAGAACCCACCCAACATATCCTCCCATTGGATGCTTTTTACTCACAATATTTGCAGCTCTGACTTGCATTTCGTAGTTGTCCTGCTCACCTTGGGTTGCCCGAGAAACTTGGGTTTCTTCCTCAATCTACAGCAAATGTTAGAAACAAAGCTTTTACACTGGGTTCAACATCTTTCTTCCACTGTTCTGCAGAGAAAAACAGCCCTCTCACTATCCTCCATGAGATTTTATTGCATTCCCTCTGCCAGAGGTTCCAAACACTTCAGGCGAAAGCAGGCATGGGGAACATGTGACCCTTTAGATGCTGCTGGACTACAGGTCCCATCATCCCTGACTGCTGACTATGCTGCGTGGGGCTGATGGGAGATGGAGTCCAAAATCATCAGGAGGAGCCACTGGTTCCCCAACTCCGCCATAGAAGAAGCAACACCCCCAACTAGTAAAATGGAGGCTTCTCATTCAATCCTTCTTATAGGAACATTTAGGCCTCCCTTCTATTCTATAAATTTGAAGCAGTATTATACCACTTTACACAGTCATGGCTTCCCCCAAAGGATTTTGGGAACTGTAGTTTCTTAAGGGCACTGACAGCTTTTAGGAGAACCCCTATTCACCTCACTGCGCAACAATTCTCAGAGTGGTTCAACAATCAACCCCTCTTTACAGGGAGTTCTGGTAACTGTAAGCTCTGGGAGGGGACTAAATATCTCCTAACAACTTTTGACACCCTTAACAAACTACAGCTCCCAGAATTCTTTGGTGGAAGTTATGACTGTTTAAAGTCATATCATAGGGCTTTAAATCGAATGTGAGAATGTGGCTGCAGATTTCCCCCAGCTTTGACTTAAAGCAATGATGAGGTAATATTTTTATGTTCCAATTAGGTAAGCAAAAACTTTGAGTTTGGGTGGAAGAAAGAATACCCATAACATGAGGTCCCGCCACCCACCCACAAGTAATCTTCTCATACCTTTGCAGTTTTGACTATTTCTGTGAAGTTATCCATGATAGACTTGATGTCATCTTTCAGCCTCTTGTTGTAAGACTGAAGGAGGGTTTCCTTGCTCTGGGGGAGCACGCGCTGCTGCGGCATTGTGGTGGCAAGGAGAGAATCTTAGCTGCTCACCAAGAAAGGTCAGAAAGAGTTACAACTAAACAACAATTGAAAGTCAAAGCTTTATTACATATATTTCAAGACAACAGTCTTGAATGAATAAGCCATTCATTACAAGCAGTGAGTTGCAACATAACCAGACACTGGAAAGAGCTTTCTAGCACAGTAGACAATTGGTACAAAACAGTTTGGGAAACGGCCCTCCTTGACAGAGTAATAAATAAACCATGGTTGACATAATAAAAATATATTTTTTATTTGGATGCCGCTCGTCTGACTGGGTTGCCCCAGCCATTCCAGGAGCCTCCCAACAAAATAGTAAAATGATAAAGTATCAAATCCAGGGACGCGGGTGGCGCTGTGGGTAAAACCTCAGTGCCTAGGACTTGCCGATCGTATGGTCGGCAGTTCGAATCCCCGCGGTGGGGTGAGCTCCCGTCTTTCGGTCCCAGCTCCTGCCCACCTAGCAGTTCGAAAGCATCCCTAAGTGCAAGTAGATAAATAGGTACCGCTTTCTAGCGGGAAGGTAAACGGCGTTTCCGTGTGCTGCGCTGGTGCTGGCTCGCCAGAGCAGCTTCGTCACGCTGGCCACGTGACCCGGAAGTGTCTCCGGACAGCGCTGGCTCCCGGCCTATAGAGTGAGATGAGCGCACAACCCTAGAGTCTGTCAAGACTGGCCCGTACGGGCAGGGGTACCTTTACCCTTTACCTTAAAGTATCAAATAGTAAAAACTTCCCTAAACAGGACTGCCTTTAGATGTCTTCTAAAAGTCAGATAGTTGTTTATTTCCATGACATCTGAAGGGAGGGCATTCCACAAGGTGGGCACCACTATTGAGAAGGCTCTCTGCCTGGTTCCCTGTAACTTCACTTCTCACAGTGAGGGAACCACCAACAGGCCCTCATTGCTTGATCTCAGTGTCTGGGCTGAAAGATGGTAGGGCAGACACTCCTTCAGGTATACAGGGCCAAAGCTGTTTGGGGCTTTAAAGGTCAGCATCAACACTTTAAATTGTGCTTTGAAATGTACTGGGAGCCAATGTAGATCCTTTAAGACCAGTGTTATATGGTCCCGGCAGCTGCTCCCAGTCACCTGTCTAGCAGCCACACTCTGGATTAGTTATAGTTTCCGAGTCATCTTCAAAGGTAGTCCCACGTAGAGCGCATTGCAGTAGTCCATGTGGGAGATAACCAGTGCATGCACCACTCTAGTGAGACAATCTGCAAACAGGTAGGGTCTCAGCTGGCATACCAGATGGAGCTGGTAGACAGCTGTCCTGGACACAGAACTGACCTGTGCCTCTATAGACAGCTATGAGTCCAAAATGACTCCCAGGCTGCGCACCTGGTCCTTCAGGGGCACAGTTACCCCATTCAAGGGAGTCCCCTACACCTATGTGTTCCCTGCCCCCCAAGAACAGTACTTCTGTCTTGTCGGGATTCAACCGCAATCCATTAACCTCCTACCACCTCCAGACACTCACACAGGACCCTCACTGCCTTCACTGGTTCCGATTTAAAGGAGAGGTAGAGCTGGGTATCATCTGCACACTGGTGAACACCCAGCCAAAACCTTCTGATGATCTCTCCCGGCTATCTCATATAGATGTAGAAAAGCATGGGGGAGAGGACAGAGCCCTGAGGTACCCCACAAGTGAGAGCCCAGGGGTCTGAACATTCATACCCCAACACCATTTTCTGGACACAGCCCAGGAGGAAGGAGCAGGACCACTTTATAACAGTGCCCCCTGCTCTAGATGGCCCAAAAGGATATCAATGCTTCTGGGGGAAAAACTCAATTTGCAACAGATTCCAACAGTTTCTCCATCAACTGCACATCTCCATGACCCACCTCAAAATGCATGCATTACAAAATACATACCCACTGGTCACATTCCAGCCTATTTTGCTTCATTAGCCTTAACCAACTTGGTGCCCTCCAGAAGTTTAGGTCTACAACTCACATCAGTCCCAACTCTGTGATAGAGTTCCTCAGCATAAGGCAGCTTCCTATTTATTTAGGGCCACAAATGCTGGACTGCTACATTATTTTTTAGAGGAAAGGACTATAGCTCACCCAACCTGGGAGAGCTGTTGTTAGTCAGCGCAAACAACACTGAGCTAGATGGAGTAATGGTCCGACTCAGTACATGACAGCATCTTACTCAAACCATCCCTTTTAGATCTGGAACCTTATTTCAGAAGAAGGTCCTCATTTCGTGGAGAGCTGGGAGAGTGCAACCCTGGAGAGCCACTGCCAGTCAGTGCGGGTCACATTAAGCTAGATGGACCAGCTTTCTGACTTGCTATGATGGGAATCATAAATCCCCAAACCTTAGAAGCCAACAAGACCGAGAAAGGCTGATCTGAACTCGCCCAGCGCTCAACAAACGAGACTAAGGGGTGCATCACCCCCTGTTTAAGAAGCCTTCCACCCGCAATCGTGCTGCATTACTCCGCGCACCAATTCAGAAAAGTTTCAGCCTGCAGTCACAAAAGAAGTCTAAATAAATAGATCGATTATCTAACAAATAAATATTAGTATCTCAGTATCTTACTCAATACATGTAATCCTCTTACAGACAGGCGGCCATTTTTCCTTTTTCTCTTGCGAACGGTTCCTCCTTCACTGGCTACGTCCAGCCCATGGGGCGGGGAAAACGTTTCCTCCTCCTCCTTCCGAAGCTCCTCCAACATCCCATAATCCTTCGCCTCATCCTCACAGGGTCTATCAATAGAGCGCCGAGCCGTTCACAAAGGGCCGTGGGCTAGTTCCGCCTTCCTCTCCAGCTCAGGTAAGTGACCAGCTCACGAGCCACGCGTAGTGCGCTTTTGCGATTCCTCCAAAAGAAGCGCACGCGTTGAGGTGAACCACACGGGTTGCAGCGCCTTCTTTGCACGCCCTGTGATCCTGGTTTAGGGGAACGCGTGCCAACCCCTAAAAAGCCTTAAGGGGGTGGATCTCCGCCAACTGCTCACTGGCCAGCCCTACACAGGATGGGAGATCTCGAATAGAGTCGGTTTGCCTTACGCCTACACATTAAATGATCTCTCCTTCCCGTGAGCGGCCAGCATGTGTTGGTTCGCACGTGGCGTACAACCTCTGTACATAAGTTGTTTAGCTGCACGCTCCTACAGCTATTCATATTTTCAGTTTGGGAAACTGTGTACACAATAGTTGATCAGTGCACTCTACACGCAAACGCTTGTGCGTGCGTGGAAACAGCTCTCTTTAATGTGTAACCCTGCACACGTGTTTGCTGGAAAGTAAAATTTAGCTGGCTGGTGTGACACGTGGGGGCTGTTCACCCGTTCTGTTAAACAGATGTACAATTTGGGGGTGCCCATGTGAACAAATTAGTTAGGTCTGCTCTTGAACAACCATTCACATGTGATATTAAGGAGTGTACAATCTGTAACTGAGTATACAATAGCTTTACAAGCCAACAGATGTACACTTTCCCCCTCAAATGCCTGCACACATGTTAAGATGGCTTTCTGTGGATTTTTATTTTCCTGACTTGTAAATATCAATCTATGAGTCTCCTTCAGTTTACTCATGTCATTGAATAATTTCTCTCTCTCATTAAGCAGGATGAAAAGCGAGTATGCAAACGTGGCCCCATGAGTTTTGTCCACTTTGGGTCGACGTAGCAGAAGCAGCCTCACACAGCATTCTGGGTAGAAGTTTCGAAGGGAGGATGATCGGAATGAACAAGACATCTTTGACTTAGAGGCACATTCCCCCTGCGAGACCATCCTACGATTTTATTTTAATTTTTTGTTTATTTACTTTTAACTTTTACCTTCACGAGACTTTGATCCCACAATGGCCAGTTTAGTCAACAAAGACTCTTACCTGCAGAAATTGGCCAAGAAAATTTGCACCCAGGAAGCCCCCGAGCCACGAAAAAGGAAATTTGGTACAATTATCTGATGCTGTCATTTACTTCTCTAGATCAGGGTTTTTTGTAGTAGTGCATCCTCCTTGGTTATTGTAATTATTTTCATTTATTTATTTCACAGGATTGATATACTGCTTGTGATGAAACCTCAAAGTGGTAGTACTTAATGTTTTCCCTTATTTTAACCACAGCTCATTTTAGATTATAATCTGCTCAGGAAAGGGTCCTGATGCCACAATGGAATGACAGTAGTGTGTTTTGAAAATGCAACTTGGAAAAATTCAGCTGTCTTGTCTTGGTGCTTCCTGAAGACCTCCAGAAGTTGCTGGACTACAACTCCCATCATTCCTGATCAGCCATACTGGCTAAGGTTGATGGGAGTTGGAGTCCAGTAACATCCGGAGGGCATTCTAACATGTATGTTCTTAGGCATTTACAGTGGACGCTCGGGTTGCGAATGTGATCTGTGCGGGATGCACGTTCGCAACCCGCAGTGGTGCATCTGCGCACGCATGGGATTTGGCGCTTCTGCACATGCGCGACCACCAAAACCCGGAAGTAACCCATTCTGGTACTTCCTGGTTTCGGCGATCCGTAACCCGAAAAAACACAACCTGAAGCGGCTGTAACCTGAGGTATGACTGTATTCCTTGCAGATTGCAAAATATTTTCCTCTCTTTGTTTAATGAAGTCTTGTGTCTCTGCCTTCAAACATTCCCAGGAACTGGACTGGGAGACGATAGCACCCAGCCAAAGAAGAAGAGGAAGAAGAAACAGAAGAAGCAAGGCAAGATAGTGGGCACCTCTCTGGGCAAGCAGACAGCACCTGGGGGCAGCCAAGCATCACCAGCCAAGCCAACAAATGCCAGTATTCAGAAATCTGGCCCAGTTATCCATGCTGCACCCAGTTCCAGTGGATCTCAGAATACTGGGGGGAAAGGGGACAGAAGCCAAAACGATGTTGCAGGTGAGAGTGTTTCTACAGCCAGTCAGTTAAGCTACTGGGCTGGTTTCTCACATAACTCTAAGCAATGGTTTAGTAACTCATATTTTAGCATTATGTGTGAACCAGGCCACTGAGTTTAGCTGAGTTGAGTTTAGCAGCAATTTGGGTTGGGACACAGGTCATGTGCTTTCTCCTGTTTCCCCTTACAGGTGGTGACAAGAGCACAGCCGGCTCATTTTCAGCCATGAATCTCTTGCGGCAGAGACTGCACGAGAAGATCCAAGAAATCTCTGGCCAGGTAAGATCAGCACCCTCCTTTAAAATGTTGTCACGATGTGGAGAAAGCCTGGAGAATCCAAAGCCAATTTTAGCCTGTGGGCATATGCCAGCTTAATCTGGGAGCAAGCCTTGTTTAGGGCAGTGCAACTTGCTCCTAATTAAACACCCACAGAATTGCACTGTTAGACGTATGGTGGAAATATTCCTATGCTTCTAGTATTCTGGTTCCAGTTGATATCATACTGGCTTCTGCTCTACCTTGATTTGAACTAAAACAGTTCACCCATCTTTGGAGGCCAGATTTTGGAGGATGTAATGGGGGGTGGTTGATGTATAATAGGGGTGGGGAACCTATGGCTCTCCAGATGTTGAACAGCCAGCTTCCATCAGCCCTGGCCACCATTGCCAGTGGTCAGGGATGGTTAGAAACATCTGAAGGGCTACAGGTGAGTGTATAAATGTAACACTCTCTTCAGTCAGGCCTGTTTGTACTTTGTGATTCTGTTCAAACATAGCATGGGTGAGAAATATTTGGGTGAAAAAAATCAGCTTTTTAATAATCTTAGCTTTACTGTTTTCACTCTAAAAAGCAAGTTTGTAGATCACATGGCTGAAAATATAAGCTTACAGCTATACATTCTAAGCTTCCAGTGTCCTGTGCACCTTACCCCTCTCCAAGAGAAAGATAGGCAGTGATCCTAAGGATAAGCATGAGCCTAAGTATGCAAATGAAGAACCTTTCTGTTGGTTCAAGGAGAGAGAGAAAAAGGTATATAAAAATGAGAATTTCTGGATACCATTATCCAAGTTTGGGGCAAGTACTCTTTGGCAAAAGAACACCAGCAGAGATTTGAAATAGCAAAATACACAACAAAGTAAAGTATGGAAATAAGGATAGGATTTTTAGACTTTTAAAATATGCCACTTAAAGTGAGTTCCAAAGTTTCCCTCTTTCAGTAGCTTAGAAAAAGAACACATTTGGCAAATTAAAAAGTTTACTTACAAGCTCTCCAAATGTCAGATTCATGTGCTTTTCCATACAGCAGTCAGAAAAAACTGCACAGCACAGGCAATAAAATGTGGCTTAATTACGGTGGTGCAAGTTCCTAAATCATTGGTATAGGAACTGAAGAGTGACTTGTGAAAGCTGAGCAACGACATCCTCTTACACCTGAACTGCTCAGGTAAACTGGGAGAGAACAAAGCCTTGATTATCCAGTCTCTCCCAGAGTGAGCTAAGCACATTGATTGTATGAGGCTAGTTATCCCACAGTTCCAATAACTTTTGCAGTATTTAGGTTTTTTCTGTAAACGTGTAATATATAGATACTGTGTGTGTGTGTGTGTGTGTGTGTGTGTGTGTGATGACACTGAGATCGATCCAACACTGTTTAGTTAATAAATAGTGACAATTCTAAGAGTACTCAGGATGGAAAAATTTTAAGAGATGTGATATATACAAATTATCCCTTTAAAATTACTATTACTACTACTATTATTATTATTATTATTATTATTATTATTATCATTATCATTATCATTATTATTAGCTACATAGAAATTAGCAGAGCGGTTCTATAATACTGTCTTCAGAGTATGTCCCACTGTGTTCAATGGGGTCTACTCTTGGGTAAGTAGGTTCAGAATTGTAGCCTAAATTTTGTTTTCTGGGTTAAGTCCACAAGGTATCAGGGTCTTGAGTCTGTGTATCCTCCTGCTATTCAGATGGGTTTTATGGTTGTTCTGTAGGAATAAGTTGGACAGGTTGAAGCAGTTTCCATTTTGGGGGTCAATAGTGATTTCTAAATCATGCATCAAAGTATTTTGTCCCGTCCCGCCCCCCCCCAATATTCTGATTGTGGCATCCAGTAATGTATAATTACATTGTTAGTCTTCCAGCTGAAATTCTCTTGAAGGAAATAATCCTTGCCGGCTTTCCTGCTTTTTAATGTAATGGTAAAGATAATACAGTGACCAGATTTACACTGATATATATGTTAGTGCTCTATTCTAGGCACTGTCTTTTTAGCTTAAAAAGTTCACTTTCCTCTTTTGAACGATTCCTCTTTCTTTTCAACTTGCTGTTTCTTAACAGGGAAACAGCAAAGAGTTGTCCCCAGCAGTGTTGGAGAAGAGGCAACGAAGGAAATACGAGAAGGAGAGAAAGAAACGCCGTAGAAAAGAGTTGAGGATGAAAGAAAAAATGGAGAAGAAGGAGGCAGAGGAGGCTTCAGCAGCCATTTCAGAGCCCCAGGCCACAAAGAATGACACCAAGGTCGAGATCGTCTTCAATAAGGTTGAAGTCCATGAGGAAGGGCTTAGCAAAGCGGAAAAGAGGAAGGTGCTGAAAGGCAACATTACTCCACTGACAGGGAAGAATTACAAGCAACTCCTGAGCAGATTGGAATCTCGTAAGAGTAAGCTGGAAGATCTGAAAGACAAGGATGAGGGGAAAGCCAAGGAGCTGGAGGTGAAGATGAAGTGGACAAATGTCCTGTACAAGGCAGAAGGGGTCAAAATCCGCGATGACGAGGACAGGCTGAAGGCGGCCCTGAAGCGGAAGGAGAAGCGCAAGGCCCAGCGCCAGAGGCAGTGGGAGAAGCGGACTGAAAACATAGTGATCAAAATGCAGCAGCGGCAAGACAAGCGCCGCAAGAACCTCCAGAAGAAAAAGATAGCCAAGGTGGAGAAGAAGAAAGCCAAGGCTCGCAAAAAGGGTCGCATCCTGCCCGAGGACCTGGGCAAAGCCAAAATTAAATGAATCAGGCTAGTGGACCATTGGAACCCACTCCAAGGCAGATGCTCACAGGGCTCATTAATAAAAGCTATTTTGTAGTGGAACATCTGAAATTCTTTATATCTAAATCTCCTTGCTTGTGAGATGACTTGGAGTCATCAGGCTGTGCAGCTAGACCAAGAAGAGGGAGCTGCTACACTTGAGATGCAAAAGAGATATAGTTCCACAAGACTGTTTCTGTGGCCATACAACCCTGAGCTATACCAGTTGATCAAGTGGATCTTTTCATCCCTCTCCCTGAGTCAGGATAAGAGAACCTTCAGTCTGGGTGCTAAATGTGGCCTTCAAAACCTATCTTCCAGACCCCCTAGCACAGCTTAACACCCTCCTTGAATATTTTCTACCTTTAACTGTGCTATGTCTTTTTTTCCCCTTGAGTAAAATGTGTATTCATTGCTCCCCTCCATTTTTGCTTTTGCCCTGCCCATCAACTGGCATGCAGCCCCTTGAAAATATCCCAGAAGGGAACACAGCCCTAAGGCTGACAAATGTATTTTTTGTGAAGAAATTTCATAAAATCTCATCAACAGGAGCTCAGGAAGGAAGCAGATGAATTTAATATCATAACAATAATGGGATGCACAAAAGTTGAATGTTATCTTGAAAATACTAATTCCAGAAGTTAATAAACAGTACCACTTTTCCATAAACCAGTCAATTTGAGATTTATAATAGCTTTTTGTGAAATAAGTTTGTGCAGTCCTTTTTGTGGTGGTTCCAGAGTTTTCAGGTATGAGGCAATACACATAACTTCAGTTAGTAAGTTTAATACTGTTTGCAAATCCTCTATTTTTTATTTCATTTTAATTTCAACTTTTCAATAATGTATAAGATTTATTTTTTCATCTGTAGTTAGATGTTAATCTGTTAAATAACCAAAATACTGTTCCAAAAGTGGCTTATTTTAGAACAGACCCCAAAAGTGGGCATAAGATCAACTTGGGAGGTGTGGTATCTTCAATATATATTTGATGAGTTTATAGTATTTAGCCTATGTAGTGTAGGAGATAACTATTTTTTATTTAAATAGGTATATATTTGAAATTTGCATTAATCCAAATTAGGTGGAAAGGAATTATGAAAGGAAAACATAAAGCTGAAGGAGTGTCTTTTATTCGCAATTGACAAACACTGATTTAAATCTCTATTACTTAAAGGTTGGGGTAAACCCTTTTATAAATAAAAATCCCACTTTTATAGGGGATAGAGCAGCTCCCCTATGAGGAAAGGTTGCAGCATTTGGGACTTCTTAGTCAAGAGAAAAAGCAAGTAAGAGGAGACGTTACTGAAGTATATAAAATTGTGCATGGAGGTAAAAATGTGGGCAAAGAATATTTCTCAGTCTCATAACACTAGGAAGTCATGGACATGAAGCTGAATGCTCGTGTTATAGGAAAAAACTGCTCCAAGCACCCATATAGAGTCCTTAAGTGGGTTCCCTATCTGTAGGAAAAAATAATAGGCCAATCAGAGAGTATTGATAAGCAAAGCAGCTAGTAAGCCTGATATTTATTAAACTGTTGCATGCACACTTCTTCAGATATCTGAAGACATCCTTCAACTAAGTGCACATTTAAAATATGAATAGAATGCAAGCCTGTGACCTGTATTCAGGAATTCAGTAGTTATCATAATGAAAGAGTGGCCAGGATGCCCAGGTAATCAAATCAGGTAACCTGGCAGACAGGAAGAAACACCACACCCAGATTTCCACCCCTTCTCTGGTGTATTAAGGGGGTGGTCTTGGGCTACACCCCTTCTGTGATGTATGTATGATGTTTCCGGGGGTGGTCTTGGACTCCAGGGTGGACAGTTTAAAATGTCTGTATAAGGGCTTGGGCGCATTGCTAGGGTTCCCTCCCCCCCCTCCTGTGGGGGGGAGCACCCTGTTACAACAGCTTTAATAAAGATCTGGCTTACTAGCTGCTTTGCTTCTCAATACAGTGGTACCTCAGGTTAAGTACTTAATTCATTCCGGAGGTCCGTTCTTAACCTGAAACTGTTCTTAACCTGAAGCACCACTTTAGCTAATGGGGCTTCCTGCTGCTGCCGCACCGCCAGAGCACGATTTCTGTTCTCATCCTGAAGCAAAGTTCTTAACCTGAAGCATTATTTCTGGGTTAGCGGAGTCTGTAACCTGAAGCGTATGTAACCTGAAGTACCACTGTATTCTCTGGTTGGTCTCTGTTATTTTCTCCTACTGATAGAGAACCTACAAAAGGACTCTCTGTATTGGTTCTTGGGTACCCCATAAGGGAAAAGGAGCAGTTTTTTCTCATAACAGTTTCCCTTGTACATTTATGAACGTTTACAGTATTTTATATTTGTGACCTTAGAATTCTTATAACACTGGAGAATTCAGGGCTGATAAAAGAAAATACTTATTCACATAGTGCAGACTGGAATTACCATAACTCCCAGATGAGGTAGTGAAGACCACCACCTTGGATGGTTTTGAAAGGACTGATAAATTCATGGAGGATAAGGCTATCAGTGACTCTTATCCACCATGGCTATGTTCTGGCTCCAGTTATTGGCCCCCTTTGGTCTGATCCAGCAAGGCTTCCATTCTTATCAAAATCCCCCTTGATTGGACAAGAAGCTTTTCTTATCTGCATCTGTAAGTTCACAATCAAGGCATTAAAGAAGTACAGTGGTACCTCGGGTTACATATGCTTCAGGTTATAGACACCGCTAACCCAGAAATAGTACCTCGGGTTAAGAACTTTGCTTCAGGTTGAGAACAGAAATCGTGCCGCCGCGGTGCAGCAGCGGGAGGCCCCATTAGCTAAAGTGGTGCTTCAGGTTAAGAACAGTTTCAAATTAAGAACGGACCTCCGGAACGAATTAAGTACGTAACAAGAGGTACCACTGTACCCATCTCCTGTTGCTTGTCCTAAGCCCCTGGTGTGGATAGACTGCCTCTGAAAATGGAGTTTTGATTTTGCCACCAGGTGGGGCCTGTGATCTCATTTTATAAGGGGATGCAAAACAATTTCTCCCCAGTTACCCAAGCAAATCCCCTCCATAAACTGTGGGTGCCCACCTGTGTCCTGACAAAAACACGCGTATACTAATGAAATCTGCCAGACAGCTCTACGGCTGGTGTGTGGTCTGTTTTGCTACTTCTCATCCTTTAAAAAACAACACTTTTTTACAATCTCTCCCCCCCCCCCAAAAAAAAAAAAAATGGAAAGGTGGTAACCTTCAATGCAGGGCATCTTGAATTGAAAATCAGGATTCAAAATGCAGAAGCATCTTGACGTTATTCTAAGTTTTAAAAGGATTCAAAGTCGGAAAGGTTCTGTACATGCTCGGACTCTTATTTACCACGCAATATTCTGGTGGGGGAAATTATGGAGGAAAACAACTATAACAACTAGTACTCTATAAAACGCTGTTATCGCTGTTTCTAACAAGATTACTGTATAAGTGACCAGGACACAATGACGAACTCATAAGACAAAAACAAGCTCCTGCCGCTCGTAATTTTTTTTTTTAAACCGCTTTCCGCGTCTCTATGGCAACAACTAGTCACCGGAGCGGCCATGTTGAATCCCGTCGAGTCCCGCGAGAGAATAACACGCACTTTCTCTCTTCCTCCTCCCTGCGCTTGATAGTCACCATGGCAACCAAAAGACGCCGTTCTTGGCCTAGCTGCCTTAAAGCGGCTTTTAGGACTGGCTTTCCAAGGGTCCCTCAGGTAAGGTTCGCTGTCGGGTGAGAGAGGGGCAATGGCGGGAAGATATGAGTTGAAGAGGAGAGCCCCCCCCCAATACGTTACAATGAGTTGCGATCCTTTCCTTTGCCCTAAGGGGGAAAGTAGCCACACGCCCAGCTAAGCATTCTGGGAGAGCAGCACATGGAACGAATCCGTCCCTCCCATCACATTTAGTTTGGATCTCAAATGTATCCCTCGTGGCAGGACCTGATGCGAGCCACAAAGGCCATTTTTCTCCTCTCCCCAACAGGACTTGGGGGGGGGACCCCACTTTTGTTTATTGCCTAATTGCATTTGATGATTTGCGTGAATAAGTGCTGTAAATAAATTTGCACAATTAAATGCAATCATTAATTTTATAAATAAATGACAGTTTTATTTAAAATTGCTCAGGGCACTGGCACCCAGATAGGTAGATGGCAGATAATGGGGAGGGAGTCCACAGTTGCAAATAAGACTACAGCTATAATATCATAAAACTCTACTGAAATACACTGGCATTTACTGCTGATATATGAGTCAGTTTGAGGTGCCATGCAATTACAAAAAAGTCTTGTTCACAGCAGTATCTCCCCCACTCGCCATTCCCAACATCACTCAAGGAATGACACCAAACCATTCAATTATTTCTTTCTTTCTCTTTCTTTGCATTTTCCTTTTTCTCAGCTAACCCAAGAAAAAGTTCAGCCACAAACCAATCGAGCGCCTAGGAAAAGTCTGCAACATGACCCTAGTGGGGGTGTCCCGTGTCGTCCCCAGTGGGAAAGTCTACAGGCAGATATTTGATGATGAGGTACAGCAATGACAGAAGCTAGAAGACCTGATTGGGCTGGGGCGGGGGGGGGGGGAATAGCATCACTTGAAGCAGGGATGGGGAAATGCAGGCACAGAACTCTCCCTGGGCTACACCTCCTCTCCCTAGGCCACACCCCTGTCCAGCTTTGGTTAGTAGATCTGCAGATTAGTAGATCTACAGGTTCTAGTAAAACACACACACACACACAGTAGATCCTGCAAGCCTTCGGTTTGCCCACCACTAGACTTAAACTCCGGCAGAGGCAGTTGCAAAGTTGGGTTAGAGCAGTCTTTGCAAACCTAGTGCTCTCCAGGTGTTTTGGACTAAAGTTCTCATCAGTCCTAGCCAACACAGGGTGAAGGCTGCATGAAATTTGTGTCCTAATTCTTTGTAGGATGTCTTGCACAGGATCACTTGGGGAGTATCTTGTTCATTATGGTCTGTATCAACCATTTTAAGATAATACCCTCAAATCAATGTGAAAACATCTGGAGAGACTTTAAGTCCATAAACTTGTTCTAAGTAATGGTTCTAATTTCATGTTGCTATTAGACTTTTCCCAAGAAATGACAGGCTACTTGTTATTGTTGCAGTTCATTGTATTTTAAATTACATGTAAAAGCAATAAAACATATTTTAAAAGAAGAAGAAGACTTAACACATTTAAGCTTTTAGGGTGTGAAAGTCACCCAAAGTCTCTTTGGCATATTCTTCTCCCTGCTGGTCTCATATGCCTTCAGCTTGACTGAAGACAGTGTATACTTTCATTTGAGGAGCGACAGGGTTTGTACAACCTGACACATCTCTGTACCAAGGCAAAAATGTGGCGAGTCCTTATCAGAGAGATGTTTGCAGAGGACGCAGCCTTGACAGTGCACTCCAAGGAAGCTTCACAAAGACACAAGCCTGCATGAAATTTGGCCATACCACCAGTCTGATGAAGACCAACATCCTGGGTGAGAACGCCGCCAGCACAACCTTTCCATTAATGCTGAGCTGGACAAGCATATTGGCAAGACAGCTTTGGCAATGGCTTGCCTCTCCAAAGGGTATGGAAGAATGTGATGCTAACATCTAATACCAAGATGAAGGTCTACCAGGTTTGCGTGTTGAGCTCGCTGCTGTTGCACACT